TCTCCCTCTGCCTGCCACTCCCCCTGCTGTGCTCTCTCTCTGACAAATAAATAAATAAAATCTTTAAAAAAAAAAAGATTCTTCCAGGTGAATCACAATGCACACACCCTTTCTGGTCACCTCCATGAACTAGTTATCTATTAGTAAATATGTGTTAGTGCCTAAAGAACAAGCGAGCAATTATTTAATGGATTACAAGGTTTCCTGTAATCCTTTTTTACCCTCTTACCTGCTCCAGAGCATCTCCTTCACTAAAATCACCTTTTAAGTTTCTTCCAGATATCAGTTCTTCCCAAGTAAACAGCAGTGAATCAGTTACTTCACCAAACGGATTAAAATCAATCAGCCACACCTTCCCCTAGAGTACAGACAGAAAAATTAGTAAGCACGGAATAAAAACAAACAAGTCTGTCATCTGTCTTATCCAAAAAGATCGTCTTCATATTATTTTACCCAGACAATAATCTTAAAAATCTTGTAATTTATTTCAAAAGACAGTTCCTACAGGTCCCAGCTGAGAAAGGATCACTTATCTAAAGAAAGGAATGCCAGATCCAGAGGGAAGTCTGCCAGTGCATTCTGCATTCAGAGAAGGGACCTAGGAAAGAAAAGCCCTGACAAAGGCAGATATGCCATCTCCTGCCTAAAATCACACAAGAACTCTAAGTCAAAAATCCAAGCAGGAGAAAGGACAATCTCACAGAATGATTCCACCAAAATAGCATGACTGGAATGCTTTCAAGGGTGTCTGCAATTATCTCGCCTGAGGAAGCTAGGTGGAGGCAGGGAAGAGCCAGCAGATCTGCGAGCACCTTCCTTACCCTTGAGAGGCTGATGAAAAAGGGGCCTTAAAAAAAAAAAAAAAAAAAAAAAACATGAAAAACGCAGGAAAATTCTCAGTTTTCTTTAATCTTAATGTAATATTTGCTTTGTCTGCCTGATAGTGCTTGTGGCACTTGAAGGGGAAATGAAAAATAACCTTTAAAAGAAATTTCTATCTTCTGAGTACTGGTGGGCAATCTGACAGGTTCTAGACTCAGTTATACTAGTTATACTGAGTTTGATTAGAATCAGGTGCATCTTAGTACGTAAAGCAACAGAACACTGATACAACAGACCTGGGGAATCTGTGAAATCCTGCCAAGAGATTAAAGCCATATTTGATCACAAAGATACATGTGACATTTAGTAAATGTTTCCTTGAGACTTTTATCTTTGCTCCTCTTGATTTTTCTTCCTGAAACATTCATAAAATTACACCGTTTTGCTGTTGATAATTTTTTGGGTAAATATGTAATGTCTTGATCAGATTTCAGTGTATAAAATTACATCCACCTAAGGAACTAGACTGCTGAGCCGGCATTATTAATCTCTAGCACTGCTTCTCATCTGGATTAAAAGACAATTTTAAGAAAGATGAAACATCTTACTAGGACTAACTTCAAACATCAGAAACATCTAGTAAGTAGCCAAAAACCATTATAGAAAGTTTGGACCACATATTTTTTGGTAAGTTGCCTATTATATACTACCCCAACCCAGGGGAAAGCCGGTAACTCTTGCCACCTGAGCTGTTTTCTCACATAGATTCCACAACCACTTGTACAGTGTTTGTGTGAAATAATGTGAGCCATTAATCAACTTCTTTGTGTGACGTTAGCTTTGCTTTAGGGTGATTACTAAGATGTCTTTAACATATTGTATGTTACTTTAACAAAACGGTATTTTCTAACCTCCAAACCCTTTCTACTTGAGTTTTTATAACCAATAAAACCACCTCTTTATTAAAAGGGGGGAGGGAAACCCTATCATACTTGTTAGTAGGGGAATACTGAGCTCTATAAACTAAAAATATGCCATACTATAAAAAACAAGCAAAACAAAAACAGATCACCACTGTTAGGACTAATAGCTGGCAGAGTTTGTTCTGTAGTTCAGAAGGCATCCTCTAGTTTACAAAGGAAAAAGAAACCAGCTATAATCAGGCAGGAAACTATCAAGATGAGGATTTTGTAGCTCTAACATATTTTTTATGTAACATCTCAGGCACAAGACATCCTGAGAAATTCTGTTTTTACGCAATCCATCAGATAAGAGTGGGCACACTGACCTTCCTAATACCTAACAACTAACCACCCCACTACCTGCCCAAAGAAATCTCTACGTACCAAACACTACCAGGCATTGAAGCATAAAGACCAATAACACAAAATTTATTCCTTCAAAGAGCTCAGGCCAGGATACACACACACACACACACACCCGTGTATACAGAACTGTTCACAGCACAGTCCGTAAAAGACCAGAAATAAGCTATGTGTTCGATAGGAAAATGGCTAAACAAACTATATAGTATATCCACAAAACTAAATACTACAGCATTGTAAGAACTAGAAAACTCTCCAAAAATACAATGTTTTAGACAAATGTATATAAAGCAAAGTGCAGAGTATATATCATATACTAACTCTTGTGTATGAAAGATGGAAAAAGACAAGTAAATTGCTTGTTTTTGCATCAAGAAATACTGGAAGGATATATAAAAAACTAATAAAAGTGTACCTGTAGGAGTATAGAGGAACAGAGGTAAGAGCAAGACTTTCTACATGTATTTTCACGTTGATTTAATTTTTGAGCAATGTGAATATATTCTCAACTAAAAAGTTTAAAACTCAGTAGGTTTTACAGAGCAGTGTTTGCCAGGGACTAGAGTGCAGGGAGGGTCATGAGGAAATTTGGGGCAGTGATGGAGTTCTACATGTTCATTGTAGTAGTGGTTATACAAATGGATGTATTTGTCAAAACTCATAGAACTGTACCCTAAAAAGGATTAATTTTACTCTGTGTAAATGATCTCTCAAAAACTCTGACCAAAAAAATTCAGTAGTTTTAAATGATTGAAAATATAGGGATGCCTGGGTGGCTCAGTCAGTTGGGTGTCTGGCACTTAATTTCAGCTCATGTCATGATCTCGGGGTCATGGCCCCACATCTGGCTCTGTGCTTAGCAGGAAGTCTACTTGGGGTTCTCGCTCTCCCTCTCCTCCTGCCCTTCCCCCCCACTTGTGTGTGTGCACACTCCCTCTAAAATAAATAAATCTTTTTTTTTAAAATGATTGAAAATAAATGAAAACCCTAAAACATAAGATACTATGAAAAAAATACAAAGAACTGAAATTACCAAATGGAACCTACAGATATGAAAAAATATAGCTAATACAACTTAAATTTAGTGAAAGGTTAAATGTATCCAATCGGACACCGCTGAAAGAGAACTAGTGAACCAGAAGACGTATCTGAGAAAATTACACAACACAGTACAGGAAAGAAAGGAGGTGGAAAACAAGCTGAGACACATGAAGATAAAATGAGATGTGCTAACATTCCTCTAAACAGATTTCCAAAGGACAGAAGACAGAAACAAAGAGGTAACATTTGAAAAGATAGCTGAGAGTTCTTCACAACTGACAAAGGAAATGAATTCTTAGACTTAGGAAGTATTCAAAAAAGACAAAAGAAAAGGAAAAAAATCCCGCCAACAACAAAAGAGCACTGTCTTCAATATGCTGAGACAACAGAACTGGTCAACCAAAAATTCTATACCCAGCTAAGCCTGTCATCCATACATGAAAGCTAAACAAGTTTTCCAGCCAATGGCTGAGGGAATTTCTACTAAAGGATATACTACTAAAGAGAAACTGGATCAAAAAAGCAGTGGTAAGAAGCACTGGTAAGCAAAGAAAGTGAAAATCAACAGTCATGACTAATTTAGGGATATTAAATACAAAGTAGAACTAAAAATCAGAAATCACATGCACTGAGAATTTGTTCTAAGGTCCTTGTATCATGAGGGCAACAGGAAGTGAGATTAACTTTTGAACTTATTAAATAGCCAATTAAGATTTAATGATAAAAGATTTAATGATAACTACCAAAATAACAAGTAAAAAATAAAACTTCAAAATTTTGGGGGGGCGGGTAGAGTGGAAAGAATAAAGAAAAACCAGTAATATAAATGAAAGGAGAAAACAAAAACATAGAAAAGCAAATTGATAACGCAAGATAATATGGTGTAAAACAGGGGCCCCTGGGTGGCTGAGATGGTTGGGTGTCTGCCTTCGGCTCAGGTTATGATCTCCAGGTCCTGGGACTGAGCCCCATGTCAGGCTCCCAGCTCGGCGGGGAGTCTGCTTCTCCCTCTCCCTCTGCCTCTCCCCCTACTGTGCTCTCTCTGTCTCTCTCTCTCAAATGAATAAATTTTTTAAAAATCTTAAAAAAAAAAAGGTGTAAAACATTCAGATATCAAATACAATATATGCAAACTACACTCACTGTTAAAACCAGAAATTGTCAGTGATGAAAAAAACAAAACCCAGCAATATGCCACTTACAAAATACATGCACACACCTAAAACCTAACAGCTAAAAACAAAAGGAATGAAAAAGGTAAATTCTAAGACCAAAAGAAAACTGTAGTAACACTATTAATACCAGACAAAACATACTTTAATGCAAAACAACAAAAGCATTCTTAGAGATAGAGATGGTCACTGCCTAGTGGTAAGAATTCACTGGGAAAACAAAACCATTATGAACATATGTTCTTGTCTAAGACCATAACCTCAAGTATGTAACACAAAAACTGACAGAATTCAAAAGCAGGAGATTTTACATTTTAACATACCCGGTTGAATAATTGATAAATTAAGTAGACCAAAAATTAGGGAAGATACAGATTTTTTTTCATGGTTTTTAGAGTTAAAAAAAATTTTGTATGGAAAAGTTTAAACATATACAAAGTAGACAAAATATAAAGAACCCCAAATACCTGTCACTCAGGTATTTATTATCTTGTTGAACCCCAAAGCCAATCTTATTACATCTATATCCCATCCATTCCATTCAAACCTGTATTATTTTGAAGGTCTCCTCAGACATCATTTCATTCATAAGATACAAAAAGATTTTCACAATTATTATTACCAAGATTAATCTAACAAACATCTACAGAATACTTCACACATTAGTTGTAATTTTTCAAACACACATAGAACAGTCACAAAAATGTGGCCAAGTTGCAAAGCCAATCTCAACAACATCAAAGACTCAAGATCAGAAATGTTTAGTCCTTAGAGCAATGAAATTAGTAACACAACAATAGCCATCACTAAAAGAATACATAAGGAGACTGTAATAATTTTCAAGTCTCTTAAATAGTTATTCTAAATTCTAGTTTTGTGTTGTCATCACTTAAGGAGCTCCTTAAAATACATATACCAAGGCCTCATCCCAGACCTACTGAATGTGTGGGCCATCTCTGACATATGTGATAGTTAGAATCTATCAACACTGAGTCAACTTGCCCAGCTGCAGTAAGAAAAGTAGACACATCAAAATATTGCCAAATTCAAACATACTTCAGTTCCATTGCATATGAGAGACCACCATAAAGAGTTCGTTTTCTACAATAGTCATAAAACCATATATTCAACAAAGTACCTAACAAACACTGATGATACAAGTGCCACCAAGTAAATACAAATGTGTTTTACATCACGGTTTAAATCGCTTCTCAGAAACTGTCAGCATGCTTACGCTGGCATGTTTCTCACTTTAAAAACATGCAACTACTTTCAGTTCTGTTAGATCATAGCAGTAATTACATCTGTACATGTCCAACTTCACTTCAGACATTTATGTAACTCTTTCACCAAATTACACATTTGTACTGACCTGCCAGCAATGGTGAATCAAAGCAGATCTGGACATTTTTCAGGGAAACATTGAGAGACCTTGGCAAATTCCAAATTTTTAAATGCCACTAAATATAATTGCATTAAAATATAACTGCTTCAGTTTTAGTATCTATAAAATGAGAATAACACATACCTCACAGGGTTAGATGGATAACATGAGTTAAATAAAAATAAAGTTCTTCTGAGCTGCATATTAGGGTAACAAGCTAGGTTTACTCACTCACTAATTGGCTGATTTGATTCCACTTACAACCAGGCCAATTCCCTGGAATGTTTAAGTCTCGAAGATAAGCTCCTTGTAGGTCAGGAGACCATCTTGTTGAAAGCTTTTTGGTAGAAGCATGGCATCTGACAGGACGGGCTCCCTATAAATGCTGGCTGTGTGAGTGACTGATGTGGCCAGTGTCCATCGGTTAGAAGCAGAGCAGGGACTAGAGCCTAGGCTCCTGTCGATCAGCTCCGGTTTCTATCCATTCCATCACACCAGCTTCCCATCCTTTCTCTAAGGTTTGTTTCCACTAGACTGAAAGTGCAAAGTAACATCCCTCTTCCTTACCACATCTCAATTTATAACTCCTCTTTCTAGCTCTTAATAGACACTCTCACCCTTGAACACATAGAGGTGAAAACAGAGTAAGTGATGTCTTTTGGGTAAAAAGAGGCAAGTCAACAGTTAACAGTTATTTTGGGACATGACCATATGGGCCATATCCTTTTGTCCAAAAAATGATTCAAAGTTATCACAAGCATCACAACAGTGAGGCTGATATGAGCTTGGAGAGGGAATGAGAAATACGTGGGTAACATTTGGAAAACATGGTCACATATTCGGAAAAACCTGCTGTCTTCTCAACAGCTAAGTCAAGAAGCACTAATCACAGGACATTTAGTGACCCAAATTTTTTTCAAAAGATTGCATGTCTTGATAATGAAACCTCTGCTTTAGGATTAATGAAGTCAGGTTTTTGTTCTCTTTTTCATTACACAAGTTTCCGTCACTTGTAAGATTTAAAGAATAAGCAAATCCTCATCTTCAGTATAAAGATAAAAGTGATTCCAATCATGCTAAAGATCTTTTAGTTGACTAAAAATAATTATCTGAATATCAAAAGACTGGCCACACTTAAGTGTGCAAACTGAGCTATTTTAAGCAGGCCCAGACCCCTGACAAAAGTGGAAAGCAGGACATCAAGTAGCCATCATCTGTTAAATTAATAAACCCCAATCTACAAAACTATTGAAGATACGTCTCCCAATGTTAAGTATATGTTAAGGGAGATTCTTGACCATTGTGACTTTCAAACACCTTAGCTAGTTTGAGAAAGTACTTTTTAAGCAGTGGGCCCTCACATACATAATGGCTATACACTCTATAAGCCCTGATTTTAAAGCATATCAGATAATTGTTACTTACCCTACTGTCTCTATATATATCGAACACAACTGTAAAGGAGAAAAAACTCAAAGTTAACAATGAGCTACTATTTTCATGATCTAAGCCTCCTTTTGAAAATTAAAATGAATCTTATTATTAGTTACTCAAATAGCAGAATGTAAGTACTTTGAGAACTCAATGCTTCCAAATCTCAAAATTTTTAAAAATGATAAGATAGCCTACAATATTTTATTTATACGATTTCATTTTCCATTTTCTACCCTCAGCCATAATCCTTTATACAGCTGATCCTTAACCAATGCAGGGGTTAGGGATGCTGACTTCCCTGCAGAGTTGGAAAATGCACGTTTAAGTTTTGACTTCCCTGAAACTTAACTACTGACAGCCTACTGTTGACCCGAATCCCTACAAATAACATAAATAGTCGATTAACACATATTTTGTGTATTATATACTGTATTCTTACAATAAAAGTAGAAAAAAGAAAATATTAGTAAAATCATAAGGAAAATATATTTACGGTCCTATACTGCATGTATCAGGAAAAAAAATCCACATATAAGTGGATTCATGCAGTTCAAACCTGGGTTGTTCAAAGGTCAATTGTATTTAAAACTTCAAACCAAACACACCATCTCAATGAATTCACCACTATAAACAAATTATATGTACTAGTGAAAAAAACATCAATCACTTAACTCATTTGATGAGGAATAATCGACTTCAGTAAAATCTGTAGTAGGAAAGCATAAAATCTAGCTATGGTTATGGCATGATTAATCTTTTTTAAAATCAAATCTGCCATAGAACCCATGTTTGGCAGCAGAAATCAGAGTAGATTTTAGGATGCACGAAAACTCTCTTTCATATACAATATACTTTCTTAAAAACAAGTCACAAATGTTTACCTTATAACTGATACTATCTGATCATTCAAATAAAAAATCCAGAAAAGTAGATCAGTCAACTGAGCTGATTTAGTCTGAATAACACAAGCATTTTGTTCTCTGTAGATAGACCCTTTGAAATGAATATCTAAAATGATAAGAGAAATAACTGCCTCAGTATTAAAAAATGACTGATTAAAATAAGGTAAAATTAACATGCCAACCATCAGTAATACCAAATAGAAATACAGTAAAATGCTTAAAAATAGTGTTTCAAATCCAGTTTTAAATCTGTACCACCAGGGTGCCTGGGTGGCTCAGTCGGTTATGCATCTGCCTTCAGCTCAGGTCATGATCTCAGGTTCCTGGGATCGAGCCCCACGTCGGGCTCCCTGCTCAGTGGGGAGTCTGTTTCTCCCTCTGCCCCTCCACTCGCTGGTACTCTCTCTCTCTCTAATAAATAAATTCTTTAAAAAAAAAATCTGCACCACTATGAAGTAAGGTTCAGTAATATCATGTACTTCATTTCACTGGGTCAATAAAAAATACTCACAGTCTTCATCCAAGAATTTGTACTGTATGTGTTTCTTAAAAAAGTCTTGTATGCATCTGCAAATCTCTTCCTTTTGTTTAGAAATATGATCATAGTACTGTGTATAGTCCCTTTGAGAAATACCTGACAAGAAAATATTTTATATCCATTGTTATATAACATTCTTTTCAAAAACACCAAAATGTAATTTAAACGTCTTTTTGAGAGAACTATTAAAGTAGATCAGAGGACCGGGGCGCCTGGGTGGCTCAGTTGGTTAAGCGACTGCCTTCGGCTCAGGTCCTGATCCTGGAGTCCTGGGCTCGAGTCCCGCATCGGGCTCCCTGCTCAGCAGGGAGTCTGCTTCTCCCTCTGACCCTCC